AGAGGCCACTCCCTCAACTACCTGAAGTCGTACCTTAGTAACAGAACTCAGTATGTGTATGCAAATGATGCAAACTCTTCCACCCAACCTATCACAGTAGGAGTCCCACAAGGAAGCGTCCATGGACCTCTCCTCTTTCTCATCTACATCAATGATCTACCGAATGCATCACAGCTACTCAAACCCATATTATTTGCAGATGACACTACACATGTCTTTTTCCACCCAAACACAGTCATACTAGTAAACACAGTCAATGCTGAATTACAGAAAATGCCTGCCTGGATGATGACTAACAAACCTACCCTGAACACTGATAAAACCTATTTCATTCAGTTTGGAAACAAAGTTGCAAATGATCCAATTAACATAACGCTAAATGGATCATCAGTCACAAGACTCGCAGAGTGAAAATTCCTAGGTATCCACCTTGACAGTAGCCTTAAGCTCCGGACACACATACAACAAATCACCAAGAAAATCTACAAGACTGTAGGCATACTATCAAAGATAAAGTACTACGTTCCAAAATCAGCTCTCCTGGCACTGTACCATTCACTCTTATACCCTTATCTTACTTATGGAATTTGTGCATGGGGATCAACAACATCCAATCACCTAAAACCCCTAATAACCCAGCAAAAGGCAGCAGTAAGAATGATAACAAATTCCCACTCCTGCCAGCATACTCCACCAATTTTCAAAAGTCTGAATCTGCTCACCATTAAGAACATTCATACTTATTCATGTGTCTACTACATACACAGAACAATACACGCAAATATAAACCCCTCAATCAAACTTCTCACCAACCTAAACAGGACACATGACCACAACACAAGACACAGATCTCTTTTTGATATACCTTGTGCCCATATCACACTGTAAAAACTATGCACATAAAGGGCCCCAAAATATGGAATTCATTACCAGAAGATATTAAAGTAACCCAGTCTGAAAATCAATTTAAGACTTCTCAAAAGCCACTTAATCACCCTAGACTAAATGCTAAATACTCAGTACACACTTACTCACCTATGTACTTCTACATCATAGCTGAAACAATCACATTGAACCTTTTATCCATTGTTGACAGGAATATAATTGAACCATTGTTTTCACAAAAAGCATTTTCGAATATAAATATATCTTTGTATTATACAAATTTTGATTCATTTATAACTAAAATTCTACTGTACTGGTTTGTTTGCAATCATGTCATTACGATTTCGTGAGTCATGAAATAATTACTATCCTACTGTACAACTATGATATACTCCTTAGTATTAAGTAGACTGTAAGCCAATAATGTTAAGTTGGCCCATAATGCCTAGGCATAATAGAGGCTCTCTTTGCATTGCAACCCGCTATTGTAAATACAAAATCTCAATGTACTGTTTGCAAAGACAAAATAAATAAATAAATAAATAAATAAATAAATAAATAAATAAATAAATAAATAAATAAATAAATAAAATATGCCAAAATTCTAGCACCTTCAAATCAAGCGGGAGAAAGCTGGTAGGCCTACATGTTAGAGACTGGGCCTGCGTGGTGAGTGCGCACAGTAGGAAAAAAATCAGAGCACCCACATTGCATTGTGGGAATGCCACTTCAGTACGCCTTGTTTACAATACCTTGCAGTAAGAAACTCCTCATTCCCTGGCAAATTGGGACACTTTTGCTCCCAAGTGATAGTTCCAACACAGATGGAAGTGAAGATGAATTTCATTGTTTTGAGGAGTTTGTGACTGGAAGTGCATGTAATGAACATAATATGTACTGGTAATAGTGATGGAAACCCAGATGACCCTCAACCTTCCACCTCAGGTGCTGGGCCGTCTTGTTCACATTCAGTTGTACCAGAATGAAAGAGGAAACTCGTATTCTCCAGTGTCCAGGACTCAGATGTGAGCAGTGGTGATGACAGTGATAGTGAATATGATACCCAAGCTCTTGAAAACAGTTCCAGTAGCAAGAGTGAAGTGGAATATTCTCCAGTAAAGCATCAGTATATATGCCACTACATGCACTCTGGTAGTGTGCCACATGCTATTCCAAGGGGAAGGAGTACATCTTGGAGTACATCATGTGGCCCTACAACAGGAACAGATAGTGAAAATGAAGATGACATTGTTACAGTTGGGATGGATAATGTGCATGCTTCATCAGGTGGTGGTGGTGCCATGCACCATGAGGCATCAGCAGCAGCCCATGCTGGTACCCATGCCACTGACTCAGCTCAGCTACAACAAAGCCCACCCACCACACTAACCTGCACAACCACAACCTCCACAACCACCTGTCAATATCCAGCAAACACCAGCAGAACACATTGGGATTGGCAGCGAGGTGCCAATTTTGTTCCCAATCTCCATTTTGATTAAAGTCAAAGTGGAATACAGCCATCTTGTACATTTGGGAACAATGCCACTGAACTGGAATGTTTCTGGCTATTCTTTGCTGAACCCCTGATGGAAATTCTTGTCAGGGAAAGCAATACATACGTACTTCGATTACACCAAGATCACGCCTACACCAGTGGAAGGAGATAACTGTGGCTGAGATGTATCTTTTGTTTGCCACAACAATGCTTATGCCACACATGTATATGCATTGTCAAATCATGCTGGTCAACAGACCACCTGATTTCAACCCCAGCTTTCAGTGATATAATACCAGTAAATTGATTTGTACTACTATTATGTATGCTACACTTCTCAGACAAAACCAGGCCTGAGAAAAATGACACGTCTCATAAGATCAGGAATGTGTTTATGTATCTGAAACAGAAATTCTTGATGTATTTTTATCCCTTCAGGAAGCTTGTTATTGACGAGTTTTTTATTTTGTTCAAAGGTAGACTGTCGTTCAAGCAGTATATACCAAGCAAGAGGAAATGCTTTGGTATAAAGTTGTTTGTACTTTATGATTGCTATAGTGATCTTGTATTGGATATTATTGTGTACACTGGAAGTAATACATTGCAAGATATCAGGAAGTTATTGGGTATCTCTGGTGATGTGGTTAGAACAATGATGGAACCATATCTTGGTAAGGGGGCAGACATTATATACTGATAACTGGTACACAAGTCCCTTACTCAGTGATTTTTTGCAGGTGAACATGACATGTGTGGGGTACAGTGCAGGCACTCAGGTCAAGTGCAGGCATTTGCTGCCAATGACATGGCATTTTAGTGGCATGACAAACGAGATGTCACACTGTTGACATCAGTTCACCGAAACGAAATGACAATGGCAGGCAGATTAGACACCAATGAACCCATTCTAAAACCTTCAGCTGTGATGGACTACACCCTAAATGTGCATTCAGTGGACAAATGTGACATGCAGATTGGGTTTGCTGATTGTGTTCACAAGAGTTATAAGTGGTACATGAAACTATTTCCATCTTCTGGACATGTCCATGCTCAATGCTTATAATATGTATAAGATGAGGACCAGAAACAACCACCACATGGTGAATTTCATTTGTCTGTCATCAGACAAGTAATATTCAAGTACGAAGTATCAACACCTGCAATAGAAAACAGCCCATGAAATTATCAACAAATACCCTCTCGTCTGAGACCCAGTGATCACTACCTAATACAACTGCCTCCTACTAAGAAGAAAAATGCTCAAAAGAGGTGTCTGTGCACATATAAAAAAAAAAAAAAACGCTCGCAAAAACATACGGTGAGTGTAAAACACCATTGTGCATGACACCATGTTTCAAAGAGTTCCACAAGCTGCAGCACTTCTAGGAATATGTCCAGTGACTAAATGTGTATAAATATAATAGAAAAATAGTAGTAAATGACATTTTTTATTGTTCGTTTGTGTGAACATGTTTTGTAAAGAATATAATGACAACGTTTGTGCGGTTATTGTGTAGCATACAATGAGTGTATATACATATAAAATATGTCTTATGCTGGTCTCGAACCATACAAGTTACTTGAAAAAATAAAATGTTAAAAAATAAAAGAAAAATGTAGAAAAAAAGAAAATATATGATTACTGCATGACCAGCAGTCAGTGATGTTGCTGTATGCGGTTCCCTTTGTCAACTTCACGCCTCTATATCTCGATAAGTATCGATTGCAAAAAAAAAATTTTCCATAACACTTGGAAAAATATTCTTAATATTTTGGTAAGAAAAATACCTTTCTAATATTTCTCAACCCTCGGAATGAGTTCAGGATGAGGGGTCTCGACCCTGAAAGGGTTAAGGAAGAATTGTAAAAAGGTCAAGAACATTAAGAAACAAGCTACAGAGAAATATCACTTGGAGAAGACCTGGTGGTAGAAAAGGCTACGTATAGTAAAATGAGCCCTTTTATTTTTGTTACAATGTTTTCTTATAGGTGAAACATCATAGTGAAAAAAATCTGCTTTTGCTGTACATGTATTTTCCACCATTTGTCACCTCATGCCCATACTCCAGCTAGACAAGATCTAATGATGGAGGAAAGAATAAACTGCCAAAAAGGCTAAATGATGAAAAGAAGAAAAGAATACATTTTCTATAGTGCAACAGTATCAAATCAACCCATTAAATGATTTAACAAGGGCAACAATGACAAATACTGAAACAAAACCCAACTAGAAAAAAAAACTTGAAACTAAAGAATACATTTATAATGATTTTATATACAAATATAATGGCACAGACTAGAGGGACATAATAAACAAGAAAACATTTTAAGTGAAGCAGCATTCAAACAAAACTACTCAGAGTGGAGGAGAGAGAGATTAGGAATTTAAGTAAGACTAGCAATGTATTGGTAATAACAGCTACAAACTACAGAAATTTAAATTCAAGACAAATAATGTTAAAATACGAATGGTAAAAAATCCAAAATAAAGATGAAAAATGCTCACTTTTGTACTGTATATGGGATAAATAAAAATTTGTACACCAAAAACTTACACTTTCATATCTACTTCCACAAATAAAAGTCCGCATATAGTAAATGCAAAATTGTGTTTTACCTTCATTCCTTCCCAGCGAGATATAGCTCGGAGGGGTCTCAAGGCTCTCAGTGTACGAAGACTTCTCAGAGCTATAAGATTATCTTGCTCGATGAAGAGGCTACACATGGACACCAAGACAATGAAACAGTCAAGGATGGTCCATACAGAAGTGAAGTACTTGACAAAGCCCAATGCAACCCACTTCAGTAGCATCTCGAGAGTGAAGAGGACGGCGAAGGCCAGATTCAGGTAGTTGAGAACCTCCTGTGGTGGATATGAAGAATAATTAGAGTCTTAAAGTAATGCAGCATAAAGCAAAACACTGTTGAGGGAGATTTAAAGATGAATTATGTGTGTGTCTGCTGATTATTATGGTTTCACTTTAGCATGGAAAACTTTGGGGATCAAAATATAAAATCAGGTTGGGGATCTAAAAATAATACACAAGCAATTAAAGAACAGGGAGGGAAAGGTTACAGTTAAGATGGGTGCACCAATAACCAACTGGTAGCAGGGTCCTCAAATGGATGAACAAGTGTTTTACCAAATTTTTTTAACCATTTACTAATTTTCTCTTAAAGAAAATTATCTTCATTACATTTCTTAACCAAGGGGACAGCATACATAACACAGAAGTACTGCGAACCTCAGCTTTCTTGCAAAATCTGACCAGTGGCTTCAACAATGACACAGAAATGCATTTTGATGCGCATTCCAAGTTCCTTTTGCCAGATGAACATGACAATAACACTGGTTTGACGTACATATAAACAATGAAGCCAGGGCAGTCCAATCATAACATTACAAGCAACATATTGGACATTGTGGGAAAAATGTGTATGTATAAAAAAAAAGCAGTCAAATGCAGGAAATAATTGGATATTTGCTAAAACATTTCCTGAGAAAAGTTATATATCAATCATAAAGTTAAATTCTTGTAAATTTTTTTTAGGTACAACTGAAGTATAACTAAATCTGAAATGTTCTGCATAATAGATCCAACTATCCCATTACTTTCCTTGCTTATTTGAAAGGGGAAGAAAAATAAGTGTGATGAGGTGTTCGATGACCACTAAATTCCATTTCAATAAACAATATATTGAGGAATATGAATACATGTCCCCAGTCATGTGTATATGAGCGAGACTAAAGTAAAATTTCTATTTCAAGTAATTTTTTTTATCAATCTCATCACAAATATATCCAATGGGATAATAGAGAATGAGACATTGTAGAGAATCACAACTATTTGCAGTGTTCAATAGTGCATAAGTGACATAAGTGACAACATGGGTGATGACACAGATTAGTTACGTAAGACCTGAGGAAGAACTGAATAAGAGTGTGCATGTGTGTGTGTCACTAGTGTGCATGTGTGTGGTTTGTGTACGTATTACCTAATTTGTGTGTACGTGTATGTATGTATAGCAATATTTACATCTGTATATCTGGAACTACTACGTTATGGACTTCCTATTTACGATATTCTACACACAAAATGAACAAACAAAAAATCTAGTAGCATGGTAAAACACACAAAAAAAAAAAACAATGACAAAATTAAAATTAGACTCTCCATCTACAAAAGGCCTACACAAAGCCAAATACATAGGTCACCAAAACCAACTTTATAAAAAGAAAGTCCATACATTATGCAATTCCATACCTCTAAAATACAGTACAGCACTGTAAACATCATGTATGCAGATGTATGTCTATATCTAAGGGTTTAGTGGTATTCACTGTGTGGTAGTTTTTTTTGAGGTCTGCATGGCTGGTAGGTGGTTAATGGTGTTCACTGTGTGGTATTGTGCATTGATGTCTACACGGCTATTTGGTGTTTAGTGGTATGCACCATGTGATACCATGTACTGATTTAAGGCATGACTGTTGTGGTATGAACTGTGTGTTGTTGTGGGGTATGGTAGTAATATGTGTGTAGTGGGTAGGCAGTGTGTGGTAGGGGTGGGGCAGGGGAGTGAGACAGCTGAAATGTATTAATGTAATGCATGGAAGGAGATTTTTTGGTATATGTACATTGAATGGTAGTGTGCTGACATGGAACACAGCAGTAATACAGTGGTGTGTGTGTTCACATGTGCTTGTGTATACTTCCAATAATGAAATGTTTGCAGGGAATGAGCAATAGTTCCTGGGCCCAATGTGTGTGCACGCGTTTGCATGCATTTGCACATGCCCTTGTATGCTTGCCCATTTATGTTCACTTCCTAGGTCACAATGAATAATCAGTGTACAGCATTATGATTAATAATTATTATTACAACATTATTATTAATAAACTTATGTGACGCCTTCCTACAGCCATGGATCTGGTCATATTTACGATTGAATCCATTGAAGATGTTCGCCTACACTACTTCCACTCTTCGTTTATTCCACTTGCTATCCTCCCACTTTCTTCATTGTCTTTTGAGTTTTTATGTTTTTTTATAGTTTCCACATGTGTTCCCTAATCTTGGTCTTTCACTTTTAAACAAGCTCGTTATTGTTCACTTAGTCGGCCATCACTAATCCGGCAATCAGTTATCCTGTTCCATCAGTAATCTGGCACTAATTTTGGCTAGCATAATTTCAAATTCCATCATTATACTGACTCAGAAATTGTGCAGATGGTTGTAAATCCACAGCAGCAAGCCAGTGGAGGAGAAAGCAGTGATGAAAATGAAGATGTAGCAGAAAGTCTCTAACCTAACCATTCTGTAATCCGGCAAACTCCCTAATCCGGCACATTACATGTTCCAATGATACCGGATTAGTGATGGACGACCTGTACCGTGATTTTCGTGATGATATAATACTTAGTTCTTTCAGCTGCTTATTTTCATAGTCTATTTCCACAGCTGAAAGACTAACCTGGTATTCCAATATTGTAGTGGTCTCAGAAATTGTTTAAATAGTATACCTAAAGAATACCAAGAGAGGGTTTTGGGGGTCAATGCCCTTGTGGCCCAGTCCGAGACCAGGCCTCGTGGTGAATCAGGGTCTGATCAACCAGGTTGTTACTGCTGGCTGCACACAGACGTATGAACCAAAGCCCGGCTGGTCAGGTACCAACTTTAGGTGCCTGTCCAGCACCCTCTTAAGGACAGCCAGGGGTCTACTGGTAATCCCTCTTTGTATGCTGGGAGGCAGTTTAACAGTCTTGGGCCCCTGACATTTATTGTGTTTTGTCTCTGCATGATTTCTCAAGATTCCTGAAGCCTGCAATTACGCATGCATTTCCCATTTAAAAACTCTTTTGAAAAGAATAATGCAATATGCTAAGGGTATATTATCATTCAGTAAAGATTTAATAAATTAAATAATAATGCTACACCCTCAATACAGCCAGGCTAAGACATCCACTCAGCCCTTGGGCAAGGTTCTGTAACTACAATGAGTGACTGATGGTGTACTGAATCATAAACCACAAACTGAGGAGAATACTGTTAGTACCCATATCACCCATTTACACAGCAGCACTTGTGTCATATTGGGTTTTCTAAAAATCAATTAATATTTCCACTGAATACTGAGCTGTAACAATGTAATATGCAAATATTTTTTTTAATAAAACCCAACAAACACCTGACATAATAATTTGGTAAACAATGAAGTGATACAAGTTAACATGGCAAGAATCTTGTGTTAAGTAGGTAGTGGTGCTGTATCATTAACAGATTTCTCCAGAATACACGTACTGTTCAGCAGCCTCAATTTATCAACAGTAAATCATATAAACAATGACAGTCTCGAAGAAATCTCTAATAAGGCTCACAGCAAGTTGCTGCAGGATTAAAAGCATGTGAGGATATTTAACTCTCGAGTAAAACATAGCACACGTATAATCAGAAAAGAAAACATGTACAGCCTCTCCTCACTTAGCGATGTACTCATTTACCCAAGACTCGGAATTCTGATGGGATCTCTGACCAGTATGCATACCTAAATAATGTACAGTGCTACCCTGAGTTTCGAACTGCTCCCAACTCAACCAATTATGTAAGTGTATTATTGTAAGTGCTTTTTTAAGTGTATTTTTGGGGGTCTGAAATGGACTAATCCAATTTACATTATTCCTTATGGGAACAAATTCATTCGGTAACAACACTCAAAATGCCTTCTGGAACTAAGAAAGTTCAAAACTCGGGGTACCACTGTAGTATATTCGAGTTGATTTCCTCTATTCTGTTTATTGCAATTTACAGTACACTACTGTATGAACATTTAAAAATATACTTAAAATATCATAAATGGTGCAAAGGTGATATTAAAACAATATCAAGGATGGATGACAAACTCACTACCATAACAGTATGCTCCTTGCTTAGCAATAAATTCATTTACCGATGTGGTCTTAGGAACGAAACTCCGTCGTTAAGTGAGGAAAGGCTGTACTTGCTTTTATGGCATAAACTCAACGAAGTCCAGACAAATTGTGCAGTATTATATATTGCATATCTCCTGTTGGGTAATTTGCTAGAATACAGCACGGTCACTTACAATATTTTGAAAGTTTATTATAAAGATAAGAGATAAGATTTTCTTTGGATTTTTAACCCCGGAGGGTTAGCCACCCAGGATAACCCAAGAAAGTCAGTGCATCATCGATGACTAACTTATTTCCATTGAGGTCCTTAATCTTGTCCCCCCAGGATGCGACCCACACCAGTCGACTAACACCCAGGTACCTATTTGCTGCTAGGTGAACAGGACAACAGGTGTAAGGAAACACATTGAAATGTTTCCACCCACCAGGAATCGAACCCGGGCCCTCCATGTGTGAAGCGGGAGCTTTAGCCACCAGACCACCTATCCTACAAGCAGTATAAAAATGAAAATGATTTACAGCAAGTGCTACTTTGGAATTATGTAGCAAACTCTCTTGTTTGGTTGTATTACAGTGGTGTTTCTCGTTAATATTTTTTTATAAGTTTTGAATGTTAATCATTATTTCTAAAAAAAGAATAGTAAATCACTGATGCAAAGTAATTGACATTTAAATGAAGTCCTTGTTACCAGTGACTTCTTCAGTCATTCCTGTTTTAAGTCACTGCTGCACTTCTCTCCCTTTCCCTTTGTCACTGTTTAACAAGGCTGAGCCATATAATACAAAAACTATACGGTATGCTTAAATTTCTAGTGCATTTCTATACAGTAGGACCCCTCTATCCATGGGGATATGTTCCAAGGGCCTGCTGTGGATACCAAAATCGTGGATAGTACCAACCCCTGTAAGTCCTATATATACCTATTACAAAGTT